GTCAAAAATAGTCCCATTCTTCTAAAAACTTAATACCTGTGAGCTTTTTGTTGTATTAGCTTTGATTTGCACCCAGTCTGAAATGTTTCATTTGAATTGGACTCAACTTAAACATGATTTCTTATGGAGTTATCATGCAGTGTTCAGAATCTCAGTAGGATTATATCAGTTACTGATCTGGTATCAAAAGTGTATAGCAAAGATTTTCAGCATGCTTAATAATGTATTTGACCTATCTTCTTAACTGAATAGGATCTGAAGTTCTTGTTTAGGGGTAGGGCAGAGTGCATTGTCGTTGTACGCTCCTTGCCTGACACATTTGAAATTATATTTACTGTTACATGGTGAAAACCTTGTGCATTAAAGAAAGAGACTTCCATTATGTGGCATCCTTTAATCATCAGTAACTACCAGGTAGCATCTGTGAAGTAAGGAATAGAGGTTAACTTCCATGTCCGATGTGACTCTCCTAACGAACGTTCTGAAGAAGTGTCGTGTGGACTCAAAACATTACTTTAGTTTCTGTATCCATGGATGGCACCTTACCTGCTAAGTTCTTCCAATCATTTTTAATCTTTTTTTTTCTCCGAGAAACATAAAGTTTGGGACACATACATGGGGTTCAGGTAGAAGCTGAAATATCACAAACAGACTTCACAAAAGGTCTCCATTGTAATTAGCTAGATTTTTAAATGCTATTCCGCCAATATAAAGTAGACTTGAATCGGTTATTAAATAGTTATTACTCTTCTCATTGTTTAGAAACTCACTCAAATCTAATCAAACAATTTTATCAAAATCAAATCTTTTAGTGGGGTTTCTAGCAAAGATTTGAGTGGAAATACAGAAATTCTTGTCAGATCAATTGATTTTGCAGATTGCTATCTTGATGAAATGGGTTGGTGTGTGGCTGAGAGGGTAGCATAGCCTATGGTGTAGCAGTGAATGAGGGACTGTCACTGCAAGATTCCTTCACTCATATGGTTAGATACAGACGAGTGATGATAACACATGCTGGTTGTTTGCTGTTTGAAAACTCTCACATTCCAGTTTCTGTTATATTTTTCTCTGTTCAGGAGCAGATGTGTAAATCTGGGTACCTTTGGGAATCCTGCACTACCTGTATCAATTTCAAAATAATGGCATAATGTGCCAGATGTTCTAAATTCAATAACTCTTGGCAGAAAGTGGACAATATCCCTTAGTAACAGCTGCGCATCTCGGATGATGTCTTCCACCACCTGGTAAACTAGTGAATTGATGTTTCCTTTCACTGCTTTCACCTGGGCATTGTTTAATCACCATTTGCGATTATGATGTTTTGGGTGAGATGTCTATTGCAGACTCTATCTGCATTTGTTGTCTATTTAGAACTGTGTAGGAACAAAGAGCAAATTAAATCTGTTGATAAATTTGCTGAAACTGCTCAAAATATGGAAGACTGAATTTTAACTGTGAGCTAAAAGTAATCTTTCACTTTTTTTTTTCCTTTGGCTTTCTGTGTTCTGTGCATTCTCATGACTATATTTCATGTCTGTTTGCAGAAGAGGTCCCTTTTCCCATTCTTTGATGCAGCCTATCAGGGCTTTGCATCTGGTGACTTGGATAAAGATGCCTGGGCTGTTCGTTACTTTGTGAGCCAGGGGTTCGAGCTCTTCTGTGCACAGTCTTTTTCTAAGAATTTTGGACTATACAGTAAGTAATAGCTTCCTGTCAATTTTTAGAACATTAAGGCTCCAAAAGCTGTAGAGGAAGCAAAGCGACAAAGTAGTAACAATACCTATGAATATCACATACACCTCCAAGCAACTTGAGAATTCTGTAACCTAATTGTGGTCTAAGCATAAATGGACACATTCTGATGCACAAAACTAATAAAGGTGACAGAGCTCTAAGTAGGTTGCCATTTCTGGACGAGCCTGAATAAGTGTAGCAGGAAACGGGGCTCTCAACTAAGCTGTAGTTGTTGCCAATTGATGCAAATTTGGGCCTGCTTTTGATAAATGTTCGTGTTCATTGATTTCTGTTGCCATTTTAAGTGCTCTGAGCTACTTTGTTGATTCCTGCTACACCCTGTTATGATCAGAATCAGATTTTTGTATTTGTCACTTGTAACCCTCCAGGAGAAGCCATGTTGAGATTAGAAGGAGGGAAGATTGCTTTAAATCATCCAACGACCATTCAGTAGTAAGGTGAAATAATGGAGAACTGGTGCGATCAAAGTCTCTGTGTAACTCAAAGAATTTTATTTGTAGAATGTTGCAAGACTTGTGAAATCATGCTTGTATTTGCAATGAGTTTTTCCCCAGGACATTAGTTATTGTCAACCATGCATAGTTCACAAAGACGTTTGCTCTTTATATTTTATTTATCTTCCATTTTCTGTGCCTTAAATCCCCTCTCCATATCTACCAGGACAAAATATCTTTAAAAGCAAATCCATTGATAAAGGAATGAGCAGTTCTCCCAAATTGTCTGGAGCTAACTCTTCCCACATTGTATAAGGAAGGATGATGACTGCTTTCTCTTCCTTTGTTTTTGCATTGTTTTCAATTTGAGAAAATGCATGTATCTGCTCAGCCTCCAAATACTACACCACCTGCTCTGCAACAGTTCAAGAAGGCAGCTCACTGTCACCTTCTCAGTGGCATTCAAGGCAGACAACACATGCTGGGTTAGCCAACAATACTCACATCCTGCAGGTGAATGAGGAAAAAATAAACTTAAAGCACTAATGCATTACAAGCGTGATGTTGCCATCTGCCCACCGCTTGATGTCTTGTGCTTTTTTAGAAAATTGACACTTGAGCTACTGTCAAGAGAAATGTGTTAGGAAAGAATTGTTTGACTCAGTGACTGAATTACTGATAATTTTTCTGAAAAGATCTTAAAAGCGGTTCAAATTATTTCATAGTTCAAATATTTATGTCATCTGTACATGTCTAAGAATTCTACAGCAGAAAGATTGCCCTTGATATTTTTTAAGACCATAAGATATTGGAGCAGATTTAGACCATGCGGCCCATCAAGTCTGCTCTACCATTTGATCATGGCTGATATTTTTCTCAAACCCATTCTCCTGCTTTCTTCCTATAACCTTTGATCCCTTTACTAATCTAGAACTTGACTATTTCAGTCTTAAATAGACTCATGACTTGGCCTCCACAATCCTCTGTGGCAATAAATTCCACAGATTAACTACCCTCTGGCTGAAGAAGTTCTTCCTTATCTCAGTTCTAAAGGATAGTCCCCTTTACCCTGAAGCTGCGCCTGCAGGTCCTTGTCTGTCCTACTAGTGGAAGCATCTTCTCCACATCCACACTATGCAGGCCTTTCAGTATTCCGTAAGTTTCGATGAAATCCCCCGTCATCCTGTAAACTCCATCGAGTACTCACCCAGAGTCCCTAACTGTTCCTCCCTCATATGACATGCTCTTTGTTCCTGCGATCATTCTTGTAAACCTCCTCCTGAACCCCTCCAAGGCCAGCATACGCCTCCTGAGATATGGGGCCCAAAATTGCTCACAATATTTCACGTGTGGTTTGATCAGAGTCTTATACAGTCTCAGCAGTACATCCTTGGTCTTGTATTCTAGCCTTCTCGGAATAACTGCCAACATTATATTTGTCTTCCTAACTGCCGACTGAACCTGCATGCTAACCTTAAGAGAATCCTGAATTAGGATTCCTAAATCCTTTTGTGCTTCAGTTTTTTTAGGCCTCTGTTCTTCCTGCCATAGTGCATAACCTCACACTTTCCCAACAAGCTGGGAACTTTTGTTCTGAGTCAGGGCTCTTTCTGTCAGGCCTGGGAGCGTTTTAACTTCTGAAACACAATTAAATAATCTGCTGCTTGAAACTGCTGCCATTAATATTAGCATTGTTAGGTGGGGAAGAAATGTGTTCAGGACAAGTGCTATTACAGCTGGTGGCAAAGCCAAGAGGAAGAAAAGTGATTTGAAGCTGAAGGACTCCTGGAAACAAGGTGGGACCATATCTGCTCAAGTCCATCAAATTCTTTGGCAGTTTTTCAACCTCACCTCTTTCTCTAGCAACAGCTGTCCTTGTCAGAATTAAACATTTGCTATAATAGTATTGCAGACAAATTACTTCACTTAGAGTCATTGAGTCATACAACACAGAAACAGGCCCTTCGGTTCAACTTGTGCATGCCAATCAGGTTTCTAAATTAAAAGTAGTCTCATTTTCCTGCCTTCAGCCCATATCCCTCTGAACTTTTCCTATCCATGTACCTATCCAAACATCTTCTAAATGGTGTAATTGTACTTGCCTCAATCACTTTCTCTGGCAGCTTGTTCCATACATTCATATCCGTCTGTATGTAAAAGTTACCCCTTGGGTCTCTTAAATCTTACCCCTCCAACCATAAACTTATGCTCTCTAGTTTTGGACTCCTCTACCCTGGGGAAAAGACCTTGACTTCTCACCTTAACTATGCCCCTCATGACCTTACAAACCTCTATAAGGTCATCCCTCAGCATCCTATGCTCCAAGAAATAAAAACCCAGTCTATCCAGCCTTTCCTTATAACTTAAAACTCCCAGTCTCGGGTAACATCCTTGTAAATCTTCTTTGCACGCTTTTCAGTTTAATAACATCCTTTCCATTAGCAGGGTGATCAGAATTGTACAAAGTCCACCAAGTGTGGCCTTACCAATATCTTGTACAGCTGTAACACGATGTCCCAATTCCTGTACTCATTGCTGTGACCGATGAAGACAAGCATGCTAAACACCTTCTCCACCACCCTGTCTACCTGTGATGACACTTTCAAGGAACTGTGTATCTGCACCCCTAGGTCTCTCTTTGTTGAAGAGGCTGGTGAAACTTGGACTGTCCTCATTTAAGAACAGAAAAGATTCCGGGGAAATTTAACAGAGATGTCCCCAATTGTGAAGAGATAGGGAGTTCAATAGTGACTTGAAAAGCAGAGATGGATAAATAATTTGAAGAAAATATAAAATTGCAGGAACATGAGGAGAGAGAACAATGGAATGAGATTGATTGAATCTGTGACAGTCATAATGGGTCACAAGGCTGTCTTGTGCACTGAGATTCTATGAAGGATCTCCTTCAACACCTTGTCTACGCTGTACTGTTAAAAGGCCAGAAGGTGGCAGGCACTGAGTGCAAGTGCAAAGGATGTTGCAGTATAGATGGGTAATAATTTACACCTGTTTCTTTCCTAAAATAGATGAAAGCTTTTGCTCAGGGGCATATGATGCTCAGAAAAAAAAACTTGTGTTTTCATTTTGTTCCATTGGGTCCTGAATAAGCAACTGGTGTGTTTTGTTTGAAAATATGCTGGAAAATTTATTTTCCAAACAGATTCTGTAATTGTGTATCAGGGTGCACGCCATTCGGTTATCTTAGTTGGCAAGGCTACTAGTTTGCAATGTAGAGTGATGCCAGCAGTGCAGGTTCAGTTCCGGAGGTCAGCATGGAATTCCTGCTTTCTCAACCACAGCCTTTGCCTGAGCCATGGTGACCCTCAGGTTAAACTCACCACTAGTTATCTTTTCTCTATTGAGAGAGCAGCCCTATGGGCTTCTGTGACTATGGCAACTTTATTAGCTATTAGTTTTAAGCAGCATTTTACTTTGCCACGATAACAGGTACTGAGATTTATGCACCTCGTTTCTACTTTGGGACCAACTGGGAAATTTTATCCAAAATGCAATTTAAGTTGCTAGTTGGGTTAGGCTTCAATTTTCTGCTAAAATTAATTTGAATAATCATTGTATTTTCCATGGGCAGCATACTAGAGCTCACGTGTTGGTTTTATTAACTCTTAAAGTAGTCATTGACATATATATCAGCCCAATCTGTTGCAGTTTAGCAGGAAAAATAAGTACTTTGAATTAAGATGTCCAGTCCTCTGTCTGCGAGTAGCCCGGCTTTAAAATCACTGACTTTTTTAATATATAATTTGAAAGCTGGAAATGGGTGTCACTGAAAATGAATAGAGAAAAACTACCATTGAATAGCTTTACTCGGACCTTCTCCCTCTGCATTGAAAAGACTTTTTGAAAGTGAAGTTTAATAAGCGTAGACAATCACAGTTTCAAAAGGTGATATTAATTTTAAAAATTACCAGTTTACAGAATACGTTTACTTAGAAGTGCACGAGCGCAGGATTGAAAATAAATTCTTCAATGTGTAACACTAAATTCTGTACATTTAAAAGGTCTGCTTTGATATTTTGGACTAGAATCCACTTTCGCAAATGACAATTTCTAACCTTTAACTTGAAAGCTGAGATCTGGACAAACACCACCTATTGGTGCACAAAGAGGAAGTGACATCATCTGAAAATGACAAAGAGTAACAGCATTATATTTCATTTCCAAGCCCCCATGTGTTAAGATGTTGTCTGGCCCCCAGGGCTGGCCTTTGTCCCTGCACCCTGGATGTTGGCCTTAGTCCAGCAGTGGAATGAGGAGATCTAATTTGCAACCTGCTCAGTGATGCCCAGTTTGGGCTCCACCAGGGCCACTCAATTGCTGACCTTATTACAGCCTTTGTTCAAACATTGGCAAAAGACCTGAATTCCAGAGGTAAGGTGAGAGTGACAGCCTTTGACGTCAAGGCTGCATTCGACTGAGTGTAGCATCAAGGATCTCTAGCAAAACTGGAATCAGTGGGTATCAGGAGACATACTTGCTGGTTGAAGT